AGGGTCCTCAACCAAAGCCTTTGGCTCAAAAGCCTAACTGCAAGGCAGCGGTGTTTGGCGGGAAATGCAAATGCATTACCATTTCTACGGAACAAGTCGCCACATGTTCCAACCCCCAACCTGGAGGGCCAGGAGACTGTGTTCGTCAGACCTCTAACCATTGACCAACCTGGTAGGAGAGACTCTGTGAGTGTCGCGGGACACTCTCCAGTATAGCTCAATGGATCGCTGAGGTGCGCAAACCGTCACACCACGGTAAGGTCCAGTCTCTTCGTGACGGAACAAAAACCTTACACTACGCAGAAGTCCGTAAGTGGAATTGGAAATACCGGAAAAAATACGCTCCAGTGCATACTACAATGCGTTAGAAACTCCTAACAGTTGGGTGTAAGCAGTGTTCCAGAGGGGTAGGACTGTCATGTAATTTCGTGCCTTCAACAAGTGGGACACTCGGGTTGCAGGAGAACACGGCCGACGAACGTACCGGAACCACGTGGAGGCCTGGGGGAAAAGGATAATTACCCCAGGATAAAACACTTGAGTGCCGCTTCGGAAATATTTCATGATGAAATAGTTCCGGTACTCACAAAAACGGATAATGCTAAAAACATCACTCCTCACTCACCCCGAAAGAATTGGTCCATGGGAGATAATGCGTCCATGAGACACTGGAAATCAGCACATTGATCAATCTTGCCTGCGAGTTGAAGATGAGTGACGATTGTTTTATGGACAACATACTTTTATACAGCTGGCAGACGCCGGCAGCAGCGGATGAAAAATATTCCCACAACTTTATGGTTATTGCACTTTGATCTGGGTCATCCGAAGGCGTATAATTAGGTAGCCAAGGGGATCGAGTTCTGTCGGCCATAGATTATTTGTAAGCCGAAAAACACAATGAATGGTGAATTATTGGTATCCAAGCAAGGCTTCGTTTGAAACCACTTTGATATTGGATCAGAGTACGAGTACAGAGCTGGAAGTCTACAACAGAAAAAGAAGCACAACGACACAGGAGGGTTACGGGCGTAAGAATGAAGCAGGAAACGGCAGTAGGGTAAAGGTGTGGGATTTATTTTACTCACACAAGAGCGAGATGGCTCAGTGGTTAGAGCGCGGATTAACTGACCGGAAGGTCCGCGCTGCGAACCCGACCTCTGAATCTGCACTTTCCCTGTCTCGGCCAGGTCAACCTAACAGTATCCCAGTCCTCGTGCTTCCTTCGGGCGGCACCAAAAGGGTGTTACGGCTGAAAGATTATTTATCTTCTTACACAAGAGCAAATAGAATAGAATAGAAATAAACACACACTGTTGGGGTCCGAAAGAATGCTATATAAAGGTACGCACCCATTACCACCAGGAACCTAAGTCACGCTAGGAAACTGCGTTCATTGCAGTTTTATCCACATACCATGCGCTGGAGGTTCGTTGGTTCCGATTTCCACACTTCTTCGCCGAAGACGAGTAAAATGACATGAAGGCCGCGGTAAAAACCACTCTATATTTAGGAATTGGCAGTGTCTAGTGCTCACGCGTCTGGGCTTTCGTACTTAATCTGAGAGTCGAAGACGAACCAACTTTCAATCGTTTCAAAGATTCAAGTGGCTAGGCAAAAAGAGCACTGAAATAGGGAGAGTTCTACACGACCAGAAGTTTGAGGCCTCAACAGCGTGACAAAGTGACCAGATCAGAACCTACACACTGCAAGTCAATGGTCTGATGTCTCCGCGAAACCAAAGCAACGCTTCAGAAATACCAACCGTCAAATACCGAAAGCTTTTTATCTCACACTTACGGCCGCTTTCTGCCAATAACACTAGGATGCTTCTTCCAGTTAGCTGCAGCTAACTCCAGGATTTGATTCGTGTTCCATCTAGGCATGCTAGTTTTAACGCTCAAACGTTCATCCTACAACATCGCGGGCAGTCGTACACTAGTAATGGAGGCTGGCAATTAAACGTCATACAATCACAAGGAAAACGGTCTCAGTGAAGAGCTAGAGAGAACTCACAGGATATAGGATCAGTACACAACGACAGACAAGTGTTAGCTGAGCTGTCCGAATAAGATGTGACAGTGATCTCGCCAGTAAGAGTGATTACGCACCATACGCAGCAGGGTTTTTAACTGCAGAATATGAGAATCACGTGGACCCCATCCAAGAGGCCAAGATATCATAGAACTCAGCAGCCGAATTCCTTTGCCGTTACCAAACCATTTCCTGTCTGCCGCAAATCCTCGGCCAATGAGTACGGGGTGGGAGACACGCCTATTTTCGGTGGACGAGGGCTGAGAATACGTAGTAAATGTCCCAGGTGCCTTAACCTGATAAATTCTATCTGACTCATCATCATCACCACCTCACTCATTGTTCGTGGGTTGAGATACTGTCATCGCACCCAGAACTAGACAGGAGGATGGTTAGGGTCCTAGACCAAAGCGTTTGTCTCAAAAAATTGACGGGAAGGCAGCAGTGTTTTGGAGCAAGCCAGTACATCCTATTTTAAAAGTCCCCTGGATGGTCAGCAGACTGTGTTGGTTAGACCTTAAACTGCTGACCAGCTAACTGTGACTCCGCTTCCCTTACCCTCTCCCGCTCCGGTACAGCTTAATGGGACAAGGAGACACGCAAATCGTCACACCATTGCATGGCGGTCTTTCCGGACTCTGCCATCAGGTAGTGCTAATTTGCGGACGGTTTGACTATCGATATCGTGCAGTTGACGCACCCTATGTTTTCATCAAATATCCAAAGACACTAGAAGTGCTCAGAACGACCAGTCGAACAAATAAAGTGGAACAGCTAACGCACGTTTCCAGCATTCTTTGCACCTTCCACTTCTTCGGCCTTTCAGGTCCACTGAGCTTTTCGGTCCGCGCGGGCAGTCAGTTCCACCTGGCGTCGGATGATGCGCCGGGTGGAGTTGTGGTGGCGGCCAAGGGTGAATATGCCTCCGGGTCTCCAGCAAAGACACGGTCCTATCAGAGATCACACGCTTGGAAGAGGTTGATTGAGTTGTACCACAAACAGAAACTCCGGCTTTGAGTAGTGCCTTGGATATCTTTCTCCAGCGGTCGTTTATGCCCTACGCCGTATCGACTGGGAGGCGTTCAAAGAGCTGGTTCTGACAATCTTGTTTCGCTTCTGGGTTCACTAGCTTCTCAGTGGCTAATCGAGGTGTGCGTTTTTTGCGTACACATGAAAAGCGCAACGAAAAGCAGCAGCGTACAAGTGCATGGTCGAAGTTCATGCTGGTGTTCAAGAAGGAGTGGCAGGCAGTGATCGACCCTCGCCACCAATAACTGACGGTGGTGGTCTATTGGATTCGCGGCTGGTTTGTTGGTGGTCACTACGTTGTCAAACCATTTCCGCCGTTCCGAATATTCGTACTGCAAAGGAACAGCCAGTGATCAGCACACACCTGAAGTAAGCGGTCCCTGTTGTTTGTGCGTCTCGTGTCCAAACCAAGACAATCACCCAATCGGGCCTCAGCAATGCTTAGTCTAGCTACCTGGGCGTTCTTATCACCAGCAACCACAATGAAATATGAGCTTTTGGCCTGCTGTAGAAGGGCACCTAAAGCGTCATAGAAACTGTCCTTGGCAGATTTAAAGCCACAGTCCATTAGGATGTGAAGACACTAAACAAGGTGCGGTGAACCTCGCTTCCTCTAGATTCTCTGACAGATGTTGCCAAACGAACCGAACAGAAGCGACTATCAACGGGTATCCAATTACGCGGAGACGCCTCTACCCAGTCCCTCAATACAATGGATATCGAACTGCAGCGGCACCTGCATCACCAGAGATGCGCAGCCAGAACTTAGAAGAGAGCGAGGGGACAGTCAGTTCGATTACAGTACTTGTCTCTGACAAACAGCAATTATCAATGCAGAAGGCATCCTGTGTACGAGCAAGAGCCACCTGTTGTCCTTCTTGCTTCGGTGTGCGAATGTCAAAAGCAGCTACGTAGATCGGGTTCCGAAGTGCTTAAATTTGTCACTGAAGTCGTACGTGCAGAAGCAGCAGCTGAGTGCAAAGCATGGTGAACGATGTAGTCATTCCTAGTGTTGGGAACTGCGTAAAGAGTATTCAAACTTGTGTGGGGTAGGGTAGAAGTGGGAACACCTGGAAGTGTAAGGGGGAGATTTAAAGAGAAGTCTGGATGGTTGTAACAAATGGAGAAGTTACGGGCACCTGTGGTGAATGGCGGCTGACGAGAGTGCACACAACGAAAGGCTTGCAGCAACGGAGAAAACTACACCGAAAGCAATCTGCGTAGGACATAAAGGGTCAACTTCGGGGAAGCGCGAATACAGACGAAGTCATCACCAGTGGCCGGGAACGGGCTGACCTGTTCACAATGCTTCGCTGCAATATATCCCACATCTTCGCTATGTATATTAGTGAACAAGTACTGAGGAAGTTCATTTATTTGGGACAAATAGTAGTCGAACAGAAGCAGAACACTTGTCACAAATTCCTTACAGAATTGAAGTGCGAGCGTCAGATGGACTACACCTCCTCATGGTTAAGGAGCTGTTCCCCATAATTACTAGACCGCTGGCACATAGATACAACCAAGCATTAGTACTTACTACCAGCCTTCAATGACTGTGGGGTCGAAGTGCTAACAGGGCACTTGCCCACAGATATCAGGGACACAGACGTCAAAGCCCTTCTCGGATCTGGCGTCGTCACAATGCTAGCAATATTAGATAACCTAAATAATTCAGCCTCACGATTCGGCATGCGCTTCACACTTGCAAGGTGTAACGTTCTACTGTGAGACTGGGAAAGCTCGAATCCCAAGCTCATAGCAACTGAGGTATTAGACAACTTTGTCAACCTGGGCATTTGTAACAGTCCCAGTGATCTTGCGAAAGATGGTATTCCCATCCGGATTTGGAAGGCCAGAGCAGCTTTCGTTAACCTGCACCACCTGTGGCGTAGGTGTGACACCAGCTTATATGTTAGAGTTCGAGTTTACCATGCTGCGGTCCATCCTTTATTATTATATAGGCTAGAAACCTGGCCATTGCACCCTGAGGATATCAAAACACTCTCAGTGTTTAACCATCGATGTCCTCCGAACATTGCGCGAGTCTGGTGGGAACACCGGACCATTAATGCTGAGGTACGTAGAAAGGTTTTCGGAAGAAACAACTTACCCAATATATATGAACCAATGACACTCCATAGGTTACGCTGGCTTGGTCACGTGCTCTATATGCCAGTCGACAGGCATCCTTCCGCACAACTATGCGAAGGGTGGAAACGAGCCAAGGGAGGTCCAACAGTGACTTGGCAGCCAAGTTTGGAAGCCACTATCAGCAAACCCAGCTTCACTGGTCATTGTCTCCCCGGATGGGAGACACATCGATCGTTAGAGACACTGTCAGAAACGGTCGAGTTACGCCCTCAATAGCGCTCATGCATCCAATTTATTGCCTGAATGCCCAGTGATCCTCCTAATCTCCCAAATAAAAAGTCCACTGATAACCCTGTATTTACGGACGAATTTATCAGATCCCTCCTTTAATACGCGGCCACCTGCCCCACATCCCCAAATCATTGGCTACAACCACTGTACGAGAAGTACGCGGTTCTTACAGCTGATAATAATGATGACTACCAACCCCAGCTCCCGAAATCACCGGTGAACAGAACCGTGGCAGCTACAACCACTGTAAAAGTACGCGGTTGTTATAGCCGAGCATTAAGGACAGGGATGCTCCCAAAAAAAGTAAATATGGGAATAATCGGAGCAGGTGTGCTATATCTTCTGATTCGTTAATCTGAGGTATCTGCTGATCCGCTACAGTGCCCCGTGTCGGAGAGAAAAGACTCACAGAAGGGAACACAACAG